GGTATTGACAACCCTTTCAATTCTCATATGGAATTCGATTCCGCTACCAGCTAGAGCTGCTATGCTATGATATACCATTTTCAATAGGGGTGAACCGCATTTTACCCAATTCTCAAGGGGCGGATCGCATTTGGGCTTTTGTCGGGGAGGGGGAGGGGGTATTTTGTGTTCTGGGTGTTGGTGATAGTGGAGGTTGTATTTGAGGTTTTAAGAGGTGGTCGAGGGGGTCGAAGGGAAGGGAGTTGGGTGTCGTGTTTCAGTGGAGGGGTGAGGGGGAGGGCGAGAGTCGTTTCGTTTCTGACGGTTTTCGATGCTTAGTGAAATTTTCACGGAAGGATGCATGCAAAATAAAAGGGTTTTGCTGTCTGATCAGCCATTTTTCCCTCCCACTCCCTCTTCCATAGTCCTTTCTGTTGCCGGCTGTTTGGTAGGGCAAAGTGAACGGAGTTGCAATTTGTCGACTGACCTGGGGCGGTATTCAATCCTTCCCCCAGGGGGATATATCCCCCTACTCTGATTCAATCCTCTGGGGGGACAAAAAAGGGTTGCGTCATAGGACCTAGCATACCTCTGTGTTTCTACCTGCCAGACAGTTAGAGCAGCGCGACCCCTCAGGGAAAAAGAGTGCTTCAGCGCGACCTATCAGGGAAAAGAGTGCTTCAACAGTGGAGGGCAGTCGCGCTGCTTTAACTGTCCCTAGGGAAGGATTAAGCACGGCCCTGAGAATCCGATATCATAAAAACAGTCGTGGTGGTGAGGGTGGTGGTCGGAGTGAGGAGAGCAGGTCGCATTGCGGACCCCGTTCCCAAGGCTGACGAAGGTGGACAGGTCGTAAGAGCACATTGCGGACCCTGTTTCCTTGTCAAAGGGGTGGGGCAGGCGTGAAAGTTCTTGAAAGCGAAACAACGGACGGTTGACTCTGTTTCCAAGTTCAGCTGTTATGCTCGCTCCAGCAGGTTGGTCTAGCCCCTTAATCGACTTCTCATTTATGTGAAATCTGCAATTATATCAGTTTTACCATAAAATTTCTGTACTTTAATTGGATTTTGTTAAGGTGGTGGAGTGGGGCACATTGACAGCTGGTGTGTCCTCGGTGATTCGCAGAGTCTTCAAACTTCTATCTTCATCATCCGTCACTAAAGTTCGTCGGGTCTTTACACCGTTACTCGTTAATAAGGATAAAAATTCATTGTTAATAGAAGGGTTTGCGGTTATTCTTGAGTGTGAATTTCCCAGATAGTGAAGTTTATACGAAAATTGAGGAGTCTTTGTTTAGCAGTTGAAAAATGCGTGAGTGTCCTTGTTGTTGTTTTTATAAAAATGTTATTGATCTTTTGTTACATCCACTGTTATGTTGTTACTGTTTTGATTCTCATGAAGAAATGAATAAATTTATATTTTTATGTGAACAAATTGATTTGGTGATATGTTATTATTCATTCTTCCTACATGGTGGAAAATTATAATTTCGAGCGATATAGCTCTTGGCACTGCTTACTGGATGTGCCACGTATTTGACTCGTATAACTTTATTGTCTTGAGCATTCATGCGGGCTAACTTTTGAGGAACAGCTAAAGGCCAAGCTAACGATTACAGAAAAAAGGGTAACTCAAACTAGAAGTTAGGAATGTAGTTGCTCTCCCTTCAAAAGCCCCGAATTTGGTGCGGGTGCCAGACCATGCACCACAAGTGACGACGGCCTCCAAGTAAATGCAGTTGCGAAGTACTGGGTGCGGCAAAAGTTCTGGCAACGGTAAATATGCCCGTAAAAAACGGTCGAATCGATCGATACATGATACAACTTCAACAGCATTTATCAACAGCTATATAGATCACAAAAACAAACTAGATCTCGAAATAGCCTCCTTTTGCTCGAATACAGGCTGAAAGTCTCCTAGGAAACGCGTCGACGGCGGCACGGAGGTAGTCCTCGTCCAAATCCTCCCATGCTTTGACGAGGGTTGCACGTAGAGCATCCAAACTTCTATGCTGAGTAGAGCAGGCTTTCGTCTTAAGAACTGACCACACGGAGTAGTCCAATGGATTTAGGTCTGGACTGTTTGGGGGCCAATCGTTCGACGAGATGAAGTCTGGGAAGTGCGTTGCGCACCAGTCCTGTACCACCTTGGACCTGTGCTGAGCTGATCCTTTCGAGAAATGCCATGTCCGATCTCGTGACCCCTTTCTCCAAGAAAATCAGGGGCATCTTGCCGTCCGATGTGATTGCCCCAAAAACCATCAACGACTTGGGGTGTCCAGATCGCTGAGCAATCCCTCCATGTTGGCTGGCTTCTGCAGGGCTTCCCGCTATTCATCCTATCGTTTTGGGTGTTCAGGAATTGATCTGTTGAAAACAGACATTCGTCAGTGAAAAGGATGTGTTGCTGTGCCGTGCCTGCGAAAATCGCTTTAAAAGCTCCTTACATCTTTCGAGCCTAGTTTTCTTCATACGCTCAGTTAGCATGTGAGCTTTTCTGATCTTATAAGAGCGAAGTCGAAGGTGGCTGGTGACAATCCTTCCAACAGATCGAGCAGAAATACCCACCTCAAGAGCCATTTTTCTCTCGGACCTACGAGGGTGGCGGCGGATTTTCTCTCGAATGATTTTCACGATCTCCTTTGTCGTTGCACTCTTCGGTCTTCCACTTCTAGGCTTGTCCTCCATAGTTCCTGTCGCCTTGTACCTGTTGACGTTGTTGTACACGGTTCTTAAGGGAATCTGGAGCTGCTTGGAGATGGTCTTTGCAGTGCATCCAGCCAGATGGAGGTGCAGGATGGAGGCTCGTTGGTCTTTGCTTGTCACCATTCTGTAAAATGGCATATTTAAGAACGGCCAATTCATGGAATGTATAGAAGAAGACTTGCAGTAAATAGTGGCACAGATCCTGTCGAGATCGAAGGCCTCATTTCTTATGGAGGACCTGAAACGGGATTTTGCCAGATCTTTTGCCGCATCTCTAGTTCATAGTGATAGCTGATTTTTAGTAAATGATAGTTGTAATTACTGTCAACTGATCGAATACAACTGTAACAGGTTAATCATTTCATTGGCAAAAAACATTTGCATTTTCTGGAGGCCGTCGTCACTTGTGGTGTATGGTCTGCACCCGACACTTTCTGGCTTTTTGAAGGGAGGTATTGTAATTATGACAGATCAAAAAACGTAAGAACCCTTTTAGAGGCGGAATTACCTATTTGAACGGTGCTGATTAGGAACGGAGGTAGAGGTATTCTATGGTGCAGGGATGTAGAAAAAAACATGAGAAATGGCCCAAAACAAAATAGGGTCCACTTCTTTTCCCATTGATTTCGCATTGCATACGATCTCTCACCGGCTGCCCTTCCTTCTCTAACCGCTTCTGTCTGCTAAGCGGTCAAAGCCAGACGGCGAGAATGTAGGCGCGCTGCATCACGACAGGTGCATGTGTTTCCCTGCTCGGCTGCTGAGGGCGTACTCTTCGTGTTTAAGCGCATCGTCCCACGCTCGTAAAGAGCTTTCCTGCCTTTCGATCAATGGTATTATCCTCCTATCTTGACTTCCCAGCTTATCTATTGAATCCTCCTTTGCATGAGCAGCAAATTCTAGTACATTCAAAATCATGTCAGCGGCAAACAATAAGCGTTTGATATCTGGAGCGTAAACCGTTATGAGCTATTCCAGGGTTTTATCTTCTCAAGATCGTTCTTCATACCAATTAGCTATATGGCATCTCTAAGTTATGAGGTGATCGACTTTGGGCGAGATTCGATTTTGGGTATGACAATGAACCGTACGTGTGGGCTACTTCCATATTACAAATTGCAATTTAGAGACTCCGATTCTGATAGTTCTGTAATTAGGTGTAAAGTATCATTGCGCACATGCAAATTCGCATGCTTACGCATGTCATCACCTACTAGCGTTCATTTAGAGATGTCAAACATATTCACCCTCTATATCACTAGATCCTAATATGTCTTGATATGTTAAGCTTCAGCCGCGTCTACTTGGAACCTTTGGGATTTCGATGGTGTGATTCTTTTTCTGTGCCGACAGTTGTTATGATGAACTCCTTTAGTGGTCAGCGTGTTGACAACCTCGTCTTCAGACCCAACCGCTAGTACCTATCAGTGCACCAGGAGGTGTAATGCCAACAAATTGTCGAATCTCAGTGTCCGCGATCGTCGCAAGTGCAGTTGACAGTTTCTGTGATTGTCATCTGAAGGTTTGAATGTTACAAGCGACGTTAGCAGGCCATCCCTGGGATCCAACTAGTATTAGGTTGTCTCATAAATAGTGTCGCTTTTTTCAACCAAAAAATTTTCATCTAAATCCCATGCTTTTACATCGTTCATATACCATTCGAAAGAGAATTGTCTGCTCTACAAGATGCTGTGTTCCCCTTCCACCTCTGTTCCAGGGTTTTCAAATTTTAGGCCTGCGAAATGGGAGGTCCAGCCGACAAAAATTGACCAAACCGACAACTATCTCTAACTTTATCTTTCCTTGGAGAAATCAATCAATACTGTACCCTCTACTTATGCATGACCTCTTCTAAACATTACACTATTAGGTTTCCCAACAAGTCGCGTCATTCCATTTCCAGACCTGGTTTTTCAACCAGAACTCGACGGTCAAGCACCATTACCTGAGATCGAGGTCGAAATTTTTTTATAGCCGAGACATTGAAAAACTGGTGGAATTTAAAGAACAAGTCATGACTATGTTAGGAATGTACGCCTGGTTGATTTTCTCATCTTCTCAGGAATAATTTTTTTCAAAGAAATGCGGTCACTTTCGTGGATAAAGCACCTTACTCCTAAACACCTAAAATTCGAGCTAATTCCTAACAAACATTAAAACAAAACAAATGAGCGAATAGAGCAGAAGAAGTGCTCACAAAAGATACACCAGTTGATATAAAACAATAGCGTTTCAGAGGAAGAATTTCAATTTGAAAATTGCCATGGCTTATCGGTCGGCCAATTCGAAAAGAAACAGGGCAACCTTTTTCGGCAACCTAAGGGTGGAATGTTCAGAAGAGGTCATGAGTAAGTAGAGGGTACATCATTGATTGATTTCTCCGAAGGGAAAATAAAGTTAGAGCTAGTTGTCGGTTTGGTCAATTTTTGTCGGCGGGACCTCCCATTTCGCAGGCCTAAAATTTGAAAACCATGGAACATAGATGGAAGAAGAACACGATATTTTGTAGAGCAGACAATTCTCTTTCGAATGGTATATGACTCGATGTAAAAGCATGAGGATTTGGATGAAAATTTTTTGGTTGAAAAAAAGCGACACTATTTATGAGACAACCTAATATATAGTGCCTTCACCGTAAAACTCAAACAGTCCAGCGTCATCTCTCAACTGCGGCAGTGACCGTTACGCGCCGGCGCGGCGAACCGGACGGTTCTGGTGACGCGTTCCCCCCCCCACATCTCCTCGCGTTTAGTGAGCTATAAATTTAATTTTCATCAGAAAAGCATGGAATTTGGAAGGATGATGATGCTCCGCTCAGCGGAGTGAGAAGCCCTAGCCATAGTGTCGCCGATAAATTTGCGGGTCAGAGCTACAGTCTACATCAACTTGTTATCAATAGATCGGTCACGGTTAGGGTAGATACTTCAAAAAAAAACCACTTTATTATGGAGTTCATTGGAAACGGTCTAACTACATCTGCCGGTCTCTGATTGATGGGGTATTATCAGGGAAAATGTTGAGATGTAGCAGCATGCTAGAAAGATCCCATCTTTATCTGAATTGTAAATAAAATAACAAATCAATCCATGAACGAGCAGCAGTTAATAATTCATTTCAAGTTGCTTCCACTTCGCAAATCGAATTCAGACGTGAGCGTATTTCACTCTGCGCTGAACGTCTTTATAAATGCGAGTTTATTCCTTGAAGGCCCGGCAGTTTTAGATGGAAAAGAGAGGCCCTGCTAAAAATCAAAGGTAGGGTGGTCAGTGATGCAGGTGTGAATAAAAAGACCAAGAAACGGTCACAATCCGAAAAAGGAACCCTTTGTGTCCGTTGATTTGCGCCCAATGGAGCGTTCATTGTTTGCCATCGTACGTGCGACTAGGCTGTTAGACGATTGGCGATGACCAAAATATGGAAATATCATGAATCGACTAGGCTATTAGGGCGAGTAGATAGTCGAGTAGGCGATAAGAGGAGGGTACGTACTGATTTGTTGCTCCGCCCATTGGGCGATCGCCTGATCGCCTACTCGCCTACTCGCCCAATCGCCTAATCTATACGTATATTTTCCATTTATGGACAAATCGCCTAATCGCCTGATCGCACGTATGATTGCCAACTATGAACGCTTATAAGGCACCGTGCCTCGTCGACAATTCCTATCAACAGCTTGGCACTATCTCTTCCTAGTCGGCTTAGAGGCCAGAGTGGCGAAGCAAAATTTTGCTGATTTCAGGTTGCTGGCGGTGGATGTGTTGGCGGCGCCGATATGTCTCCTGTGGTTTCTGTCACTCTGTTATCTGTTCTGTATCACATTTGTTCGCAGTTTCCTAATCGAAAAAGGAACTGCAAAAGCGGTAATGTTTCTGCGTTTCACATTGCATACCTAGATTTACACAGCCAGGAAGCTAAGGGAGTGTCTTGGAACATATGCTGATTTCGCACGCTAGCCTTATTGTTAGTTATGGCATCTCCAAAAAATCCTCCGTTATTGTGCACGATCTGGGTTATATAGATTTAATGGACTGATAGGTTAGAAATAGGTAAAATATTAGAGGCAGCGGTCAAGCTCGCTGAGGGACGGAGACGTGTCGGACATGTCATTGCTGGAATGGCATCGAGGGGTCGTCATCAGACGCCTTTCCACAAGTCGAAGATCGAAGAAGAGACAGCGGTCCCTTCAAGGGTGTGGTACGATACGCGTTTCTCAGAGAAGAGCACGCCCCCTCGATCTCGTAGGGCCGTACCCACGCCACTCTACGCCCACCAATAAGTAATCCCTCGCCTGTCCGACCTTAGCCGTTCAACCGAGAGAGCGTCAGGGTAAAGAGGGACGGCACCGATGAAAGTCGCGTCAATGCGGAAGTCCACGAGCGAAGAAGAGATACCTTTTCTTGAGTTTTGAGTTGTATTTGATGATTTTTCTTTATCTCTGCGCCACTGATGACCTCCATATTAATTTCTGAGGGGCTGCCTTTTCATTATAAACTCCACTTTTGAGAAATTCAAAAATTTTCTTGGGTGTTGCCCTTATCCATTATCAAGCAGTCAATCCTTGCATGTCACTTAGTGACTAAGGACTTGCAAACTGGCGAAGAGGAGCTTCATTGAGCTCGATTTCTAAGATAGGTTTCACAATTAATCCAGGCGGATATTCGTTCACGAAGAGGATAGAGCTGTCCAAATATTCAGAATATGTGCAGGCTCCGCAGCTCCGAAGCGCGTTCTGAGAGCACTAGGTCTTATTATTCAGCTGCAGGCTGCTGCCGCTGCAGTTCGCGATAGAACGATTTCCACCAGTCTGCGCCTCGCACATCCTTTATGATCTTTCGTCTGTTTTCTCGCCGCGACAACTAGTGGCCTCTTTCGTGGGCTCTGTCACTGCCAAAAAAACGAGGCAAAGAGATATAACGCGGTGTTTTCAGCCATTCCTTATGTGGGGCGAGTCGCCACCCGAAGATCCAAATAACGTGTTCAAAAATGCGGTAGACGGTTTTTCAAGAGAATAAGAACTTTTTATAATAAATGTTTTTCTCATAGTTTTCTTTGGATGTTTTACCGGATTTGATTTCGTT